ACAAGAAAAAAAATTATATCCATGTGAGGTGATGGACGTCAACTAAACTTACTGTGGTGATCATTTTGCAAAGTATACATATATTAAATCATATTGTATGCCTTTATCTAATATAATGTTATACGTTAGTTTTATCTCAATAAAACTGAACAAAGTCTCAATTAAAAAAATCAATTGTATTTCTATATGCCAGTAGCACACAGTTTTAAATTGAAATATGTAAAATGCCATTTGTGATAGCATTTTTAAAAACACAAAATAAGTAGTGATAAATTTAACAAAATATGTTCAGGGTCTATATGCTAAAAGCTACCAAACACTGGTGAGAGAAATTAACAAAGACCTAAGTAAATGGGGACAAATACGACACTAATAGATCAGAAGACCATTCTTAAGATGTCTGTTCTCCCCGGATTGTTCTATAGAATCAACTCAATCCATTCAAAATCCCAGCAAGCTATTTTTTTTAATTATTTTTTTTAATGCTTAGCATCATTAGTGATCGGGGAAATGAAATGAAATACTACCACACACCAGTAGAATGACTAAAAATAACAAAATTAAACCAAAAGCTGACCACGCCAAGTTCTGGGAAGGATGCAGAACGACTAGAACACTCATATTTTGCTTGTGGGAACACGAAATGGTATGGCCACTTTATTTAACAGTATTTTTAAAATTTATTTATTTATTCTTGAGAGAGATGGGAGGGAGGGGCAGAGGGAGAGAGAGAGAGAAAATCCCAAGCAGGCTCTGTGGAGCCCAACGCGGGGCTTGAACTCACAAACTAGGAGATCCTGACCTGAGCGGAAATCAAGAGTCAAACGTAACCAACTGAGCCGCCCAGGTGCTCCTGTTTTTGTTTTTTAGTAAGAGTAAACATGTACTTACACATAACTCAGCAGTCCCATTTATACATATTTGCCCAAGAAAAATGCAAACAACTCAGCAGTCCCATTTATACATATTTGCCCAAGAAAAACGCAAACATAGCCACACTAAGTCCTCTACATGAATGTTCTAGAAGTTTTATTAATAACAGCTAAGAACTCACTCAGGAATCTACTCCTGAAATCATTGTTGCACTATATGCTAACGAATTTGGATGTAAATTAAGAAAAATAAATAATAGCCAAGAAGTGGTGAATGGGTAACCAACTGTGGTATATCCATATAATGGAAACTACTCAGCTACAGAAACTAGTGATACCCATATCCACATGGAAGAGTCTCAAAAGCTTTATTTTATGTTGAGTGATAGAAGCCAGTCATAAAGTCTACATACTGTAGGACTCCATTTATATGCCATTCTAGAGTAAACAACAGAGTCCAGATCAGGGGTTGCCAGAGGCTGCTGGTGGGGCACAGGGGAATTTTCAGGGTGACAGAAATGTCCCATATCATAATTGTGGTGGTTACACTATTACATACATTTGTCAAAACAAACAGAATGGGGGTGCCTGGGAGGTTCAGTCGGTTAAGCGACCGACTTCGGCTCACGTCATGATCTTACGATTCGTGAGGTCAAGGCCTTTGCCGGTATCTGTGCAGACAGCTCAGAGCCTGGAGCCTGCTTCGGATTCTGTGTCTCCCCATCTCCTTGCCCCTTCCCCACTTGCACTGTCTCTCTCTCAAAAATAAATAAATGTTTAAAAAAATTATGAAAAGCTAACTTTATTGTATGAAAATTATTCCTCAAACTTTTTTTTTTTTTTTTTTTTTTTAAAGAATCTGTGAGTCATTGTGCCATTGACATCAGGCTGCATCCGTCCATCTCTACTTGTTAGGGCCTGTCCAGTTTCTCTCTTCCCTGCCTGACCTGGGCTGAGCCTGAGCAGCTCCAAGGCTTTCCTGCAGGAGGGAAGGGATAAGACGCCGGGGAGCTGGCGAGAGCCTGCAGCAGTCCCATGAGCCTCCATCCCGCCCCTCTGGTCAGGAGGGGTAGCTCAGGTTGGGTTCTGCCACCCATGCAGGTCAGAGAGTCAGAGCCAGTGCTCTGGAAGAGTACACCCCAGCCCCGGGGAGATTGGGGCCTCTGGATGCTCTGAGCCCATCGCTGCTGAGCTGCCCCACACAGGGCAGCTGTCCCTGCCTCTCCCTGTCCTGCCTCTCCTGCCCCACCTCCTGCACACCTTCACGGGCACTTATCAACAGGGACACCCACTTTCCCCAGGGTTCTGATCCTCACAAGCTTCACGTGACACCTCCCTGTCTCTCTAGGATACTGGGGGGAGCCAAGAGAGGACATTGGTGTTGACTGATCACCAAAGTCTCTGTCCACCTTGTAGAAAATATTTAATTCAATCCTCATACCAACCACCTGAGGTGCACACTAGTCTTGGCCTCATTTTACGGATGTGGAAATTGAGGCTGAGGGAGCCAAGATGAAGTTTAAACCCGTATGCGCCTGACCCCGAGGATGACCATGCTGGAGGCCATCTCATGGTTTTGCGCCACACCGCCCCACACCCCGCCCCGCCCCGCCCCACACATCTTTGCTTCTTATGTCTCTGCCTGTGTCCTCACAAATGCAGCGAATACCCTGCCAACGGAGGTCCTTCCTCGCTCTCTCATTCACGGCTGTGATGCTGTGGCATCTGGAGTCAGCCTGACTTCGGGCCAACAGGGGTGACTCACACCTGGGAAGGAACACCCGGGCGGCGACAAGGCAAATCGGCAGTGCCCCCCAAGCCAGGCGAGGCGGCCCCTTGGAACAGCTGCCTGGACCCTCCCTCAGGACCAGAGGAGCGGCCCGGATGGAAACCGGTTTCCTGGAGCACTGACCCCTGGCTTCGCGGCAGCACTCCTCAAGTGATGGCGGCCTTTCAGCCAGCACAACTCAGGGACTAGCTGATGGTGGGGACCCTTCCCCTTCCAGGGAGGTCGTCCGGGTCCCCTACGCTGCCAGCCAGCGAGGAGCCCAGGAGGCAGGCTCCCCCACCG